CGAGTATTGTGTATCAGTCAGTTATAAGGACAAAAGAATGCAAAGACATAAAAAAGAGAGAAAGGGAGGGATTATTAAAATTACCTTTAATTAACTCAAATTAATTAAAGTGTTCATATCAAAACTGAACTATAACACTGTGAGGTACTATCACTTCTGAAGCAAATTCCTCTTCTTAACACTGTGAACACAGAAGCGTGCAGTGACAGGAGTCCTCTACCAAATACAGGAGAGTTTCATTTTAATATATGCAATTAAAGTAAATGGCTGGGCATCAAATTACTTTATTAAATATCCAGGATATTAAAAAAAAAACTTTATCACTAATCCCACACCTCTTGAAACACACTGCTAATTGAAATATCTAAGTCAGTTTTACAGGGATGTAGCATTATGCAACTAAACTTAAATCGCATACTTCCTTTTTTAGAATGGGTTTAATTCTCAATTCATATTCTCCTATTCACAAAGTTAAGATATACTTCAGTAAAGATTAAGTTAGAAGGATGCACTGATATATAATGCTATGATTAGTCTTTTTAAAATATTATTTTTGTTTAATTAAGCAGACAAGGCTGTCACATAGAATATGTCGACCGAGACACACAGATAGCAAGCTCTGAAAGCAGCACCTGAATTTTTTGTGTGATGGTGGCTTGCATTTTGACATTTATTAAAATAGGAACAAAAAAATAAGGCTCCATTGAAAGAGGATGAAATGCATACTATTTCGGTCAGTATTTGGTATTTCATCATGATACTGTACATAAAAGTTGTTTCTGTTTTAATGTCAGTCAAGTTTCTGGGTTCGAAGAAATGTGCTACATTGACTAATTAAAAAAATGAATCTGTGAAAAATCCTCGAAGGCACTATAGATTCTACAGAATCAAGAATGAAGTGCAAACCACAGGACTCAAATGGAAAGTTCCAGGGTAGTAACTCTAAAAACATCCCATCATCATTGTACCGTGCCAAGATGCAGCCCAACATGACCTGTTTTTCATTAAGGGTCCGGTGTTCTCCTTCACCACCTTTGCAAACAGTTTCATTTCTCCTGCAAATCCGGGCAAATGAGGGTTGATTACTATGTCATGGCAAATGTCATATATTTATTTAATTGAAGACCCCTGCCTCAACTCAAGGTGGTGACATTATGTAAATCACTATGTATTTCAGATATCATTTAAGAAAATGTATATGTATTTGAAGTGAATATATGTTGCTATACAGATGATATATAAATGATTTCAGTATATTAAAGTTCTTTTTGGATTATCTTTTATTTCTTATACCTCTTTTCTAACCCATTCTCTATGTCTCCTGGTACATGTTGAGAAACTAAATGATTTGCCTTTCATTTTTCTCCTCTTTTAGAACATCTTGGCACTGGACACAACATCATTGTGTTTTGAACTGTTTTTGACAGCTATTCTTGGTTCTTAGCACATTTGATTAATGTTACCTACAAAACTGAATTTTTGGAAAGTAATTGGGAATATAGGATTGATAGTCTTATCCCTCTTACAATATCCCACTCTTCGTTGCCTCCATCTTGAAAGAACACACCATAACCAGATATCTATTCTTTTACCTACGCTCCCTCTTACCCGATAGAGGAGACACTGGGGTTGTAGCAGTGGGCTGTCTACTCTGGAGAGAGGAATGGTCTTTGCAGAACAGACCCATGGAGCCTATGTCCATTTGTCTGACTTGAGCCAGACGAGAAGTTTGTTCAGACACTTTTTAGCAAGGTCATATACTGTACTTCGTTCAAACCTATACTATAACAATGGTACTGATATTTTGTTTTGATTTAATCTGTTTGTTTTCATCTATAGATTTAAACAAATTAAATAACAATGTTGTAGTACATGTACAATTTATGTCCTGTACAGGATGTTAAATCCCATTGCCTACTATTGAACTGTGGCAGTTTCACTAAATTATATAGAAAACTCTGTTTGCCCGAGGAAACTGATTAAACTATGAAGAATATTAGGTCTTTATTTAATGAGAAAAGTCAACGGAAAACATTATCATTTGTAGTGACGAGCTGGAAATGGATTTATAGAGTAGGGTTATTTACAAAAGCTATTTTGAGTCAAGGTCCTTTCTCATAAGAACAATAGACTTAAACGGCAACTTCACATTAGCATATTCCATATTAAAATAAACTGATGGTATGAAAAAAATAAAACAATTATGCTAAAGCTTGACGTACAGTATGTGTGAAAGGGTATGTTCACCCATTGCATTATTAACACTGAGCAGTACCAACATCATCTTAACACACCCAACGGCAACTCCAGCCTTCTGTGTCAAGCCACCGCCTGTGGCGATGACGTTTTGCACCAAGAGCGCGACTTTGGTGATGACGTTTTAATTCTGCGACACAAATCGCCTAAACAGCTCGGTTTGTATGTTTGGTGACAGTCTTTAATCTTTCAGAGAAAGCTTAAGATTGCTATTGTAGCTTTGCGTAGTGGTATTCGATCAGTATTTAACATCCTTTAAACTTATTCGTCTTATTAAACGAATGATCTGTAGGACGTACCTTTAGAAGAAGTGGAAATGACGGGGAAGAAATCTGCTAAGGAGAAGAAAAGGAAGCGTTCGCACTCAGAAGGCCGGCATGTAGAAAGAAAACGAAGAAGTACGGAATCAAGCGTTGAGGTAACGTGTTTATAATTTAAATATTTACTCTAATCAAGAAGATTTATTACACACGGGTTTTGCATGTCATTACATACATTAACATTAATGTGCTTCGTAGGTGGCAGTCATTCTTCACGATCTCGAAACTTTTTCATCGTATGATGAAATCCCTCTTCAGCTTGTTTATATAATATTTAAAAATATTTGACAGATTTTTTGTATTGCATTTCATTTTTAACATTTCGTCACACAGTAGCTTACTTTTTAAGTTGTCGTAGCTTTATTTTAGGTTTGAAAACATCAAGTATTGTCTATAATGCTATTCTTCCCCACGCACACCTGGGCATGAGGTGTCAGTTGTCACGTTGCCTGCAGCTGACTGTGGCCGAGCGTGTTAAATTGAAAAATGTATTTGTCCTAAATTAAGAAACAGTAAATGTTATTTTTGAGTCGAGTTAAATAAAAAACGCGCAAATTGAGAGCAAGTAAATCGATGTTTATCTGTACGTCTTTGTCTTTTCTTGTTTTGTTTTGCTCCTAAACAGCACCAAAGTCTGATGGAAACTTCCTTATTTCTTAATGTGAAAGAATATCCCATTGTCTTTGAACACGCACATATACACGCAAAGTAAAAACCGAGAGCAGATTTTACATCTAAAAATGTCTTTTTGGTGCTCTACTAACAGGATTTAAAAGTCGATATTGAAAATGAGAGTCGGGAGACAGATGAGCCTAGTGACATTGAAGAAGGAGGCTTAAATCTGGATGTTCCATTCAGACCCATCAGTGCCTATATCACTGACAGACAAGAGATGCTGGAACAGTGTTTCCGGGTGCTGGGGGAGACAAAGCTTAAGAAAATGCTTCCAGAAGAGTTGAAGGTATTCATCTTCTCACAACCGGTTGGGATGTCAGACCCTTCATATTCTTGCCAATTAAATAAGTGTTAGTTAAAGTGATGCTGTGAGGAATGATGCATCCCATTAAAAGATTAATTATGCCCATTCTGCTTTTTCATTGTGTTTGTCAAAATAAATTATCTGGCACAGCTGCCGAGTTTTCTGAGTTGCTGGTCACCTTGCTATAAAGGCTTGGAAATGTTGTTCTTGGCACAATTTCCTAAATTTCAGCAGCCTTCTGCTACCTCTTTTAAGATGTTAAGCAACGGGTGGTAGTTAAGTGGGAATTTTTGCTTAATTTCTGCCTTTAAGCTGAAATAATGTGATTCATATTGTGGTTTGTCTGTTTCTCTGCAGTTTGTCCAAATATGATTTTTTTTATTGTTGTCAAATTTACCCTTTTAATTTCTTAACATTGTTTAACCATGTAAAGCAGTCCTATGAGAGAGAAATGTAACCTTCCCATGTGCTGTGTAAAAATCTAAGTACTTAGAATTGTTTGTAATGAAGGATAACAAAAGCCCTTGTGTTCACAGAACTGCTCCTTTGATGAAATCAAGAGACTTTGCTTAGAGCAATTGGAACAGATCTCTCAAAGGAATCTGCTACAGATTCTTGAGGGTAAGATGGTGCTACGTTTTTCTTATAACTATACCAAATAACTTATATTTGGTAGTCTGAACTATGGAAAAGCTTAAAAAAATGAAAATCTTAGAATATTATTACAAATGGTAGTTTACAAAATGGCAACTGTTAGGAACTGTTCAAGTGGATAAATCAATAAGTAAGATAATCATAACTTGTAAAGATTTTGCCAAGATTATACCTGAGTGGCTGGTATATTCAGAGGCACTTGAGTTCTTTGTTCTTTCGTACAGGTTTTGTGCAAAGAGTAATAATTCAGGTGCTCTTGGTTAAACCAATATGTATTAACAGTGACAATATACACACTAAACAACACACAACATTAACATACCACACATAAGTTACCCTATGTACAGATTTACAAAATAAGGTGTCCCAAAGGCCTAACATCCTAACCGTTCAGTAAAATCCAGGACTGCTACGAATTATTCAAATTCCTATATAAAACTCCTACAAAGGCCGAAAATAAGAGATAAGCTCGCCTTCTTAGCTAAATAGAATGTAATCTGCGATTAAATCTCTTTTTGTCTGCAAACCCAGATGTAACCGAATGAATGGGAACCTGTCTCCCTATTCTGAAAATGCACCCACTAACCAAGAGAGGCCATTTTTAACCAAGGGATTCTTTACACAGGAAATCAGAGTTCCCTAAAAACCACAGAATAGTAAGATCTCTTAAAAGGGTTCCAATGCTTAGCTCTAATCTGGTCTTCCTGGGTGATCTAGAACAAGGAGAACTTGCCTCCAGTATCTTTCTTGTGGTCTGTATCCCATTCTGCTTTACCATCCTCTTATATGGTGTCTGTTTTGGACTGATGATTTCTACTTAATCATTCAATCAAGGTAAACTTTACAATTGCTATGATCACTGAATCTAGACCCCGTACATCTCAGCCAAACATCTCTTTGCCTTGAAGGTGGAAATGTTGACACAGCCAGGCGTTATCCATTGTATCTAGATTCTAAGAGACACATCCATAGTAACCTATAGCTGTGACAATATTTTTTTTAATTAAGGGATTTGATAATTGCACCGATTTTAAAGATATTTCAATAAAGGAATTTTTAGGAACAATCGGCATTCCATTTTTGAGTGTCTTGGGAAGTCTTTTTACAGGAATACGTTTGCAAGGGTCAGTAAATGGTTTCCTTCATATACACATTGTAGTTTGTGAAAGGTGATTGGCTAGGTCATTGCAGAATTGGAGATTTTAGATTGTTTTTTTTTTTTTGCACATTCTAGAAACATTTTGCTATCTTTGGGTAAAGTAAAATTAGCATAATTATACAAGGGTCTCTGGAGAATTCTTGGTAGGGTGGTTAGATGATAGGATATCGCCTGTTTGTGGTTCCAGGACTTAGATATTAGGGCAGAGGCACCAGCGATGGGTCTTGTTGAACCCACTTGTTCCAACACTATGAAAGTATCTGAGCAAAGCCAAGAAACGCCCTTGAAGAGATTGTGCACTCAGCTGAATAATGTGTCTTTCTTCACATATATGTGAATGTGGAAATAAAACGGAATTTAAAAATCATTGCACCTCTTTGTACATTTAATTGCAATTTAGTTGATGAAATTTGTTTACACGATAAAGGTGACGAAGTGACCGGAAATTCAGATGTTGAAGAAGAAGTGAGTGAAATGGGCAAAAGGAAGTCCGAAACAGATGGCCAGTAAGTATATTTCTAAACGGGGTGAAATTCATCTTTCTTTTTTTGAAGAGTGCACGAAGTGGTCTTAATTTTAATGTTTGGGCGTTGCCTACAGCAAGGGTTCTCAACCCATGTTCTGGAGGATTCTTGTTTCCTGTTGAGCTGTTTATCATAGGCCTTCACTCTCCACTTTTGTGAAAGGTGGTTATAGCCATAAGGCGGTCAAAAATGATTTGGCTGTTCTGAATCGGGTAAGAATAATTGACAAGTTTAAAAACATTAATTTTGGAGTGGAAGAAGGCTATTGCATTCATTACACACTTTCTTAAGACATTATTAGAAAGAGATAAGTAATGAGGATTGCCTTCCCTGTGAAATTCAAAACTGAAAGTGCTTTGGGTTTAAAATATTATCTCTTAAATATTTTCCTTTTTTTAGGCAGGACAACAGTGTGGATTCTACTTCATCAATGAAAGAGAATGCCCAAGTAGAAGACCATAAGCAAGGTAGGCTGAAGTATGTAGAAAATGCTGCGATGCAGTTGCTTTAAACAATAAAAACTGAAATCCTGAACACTGGAGCTGTCAAGTGTTGTTTATACTGAAGTAACACAAGTGAAGTGTGATAAGAGACAAAAATCAGCCACTTTGTCCAAAATGGGTAAAATGGGTAACATCCTCTTATCATATAAAGTTTGTTTCTTTAAAGGTCAATGAGAGCATTTAGGCACATTTTTCTTTGAAATCTCAACAGGGCTAGAAACAGTATTCTGTAGGTATTGTCTCTCGTATATTATGCAGCTTCAGTTAACATCATCACTGATGTTGACTGGTATTGATATAACACTTTGTTCAAGTAATTTATTGCTTGATTTTCTTCAGAAAGTTTACTTAAATCCAGTGGTGGACTGTCACTTCTGTGATTTGCAGTGGTTTCAAAGCTTATGGGGAGATGTTTTTTTTCCCCACTTTGACTACTCTTCATTTACCAAAAGTCTTTGATAGTTTTTGCTATGCGACATGTTTACAACACGATAAAAGCTCTGAAATGAGGTATTCGAAGTATTTTCATGTACGTTTATGATGTTTTTATGCAGTTATGTTTCCAATACAGTAAATGTGTAGAACCAGCAGGCAGCTGTCGGAATAAAGTACAACTGCTGTATTGTAAGCTTCAGCGGGGAACATTATCACCGTGGACTTCGTGGTTTGAAATAAGGTTGTGTTTTTACTTTCTCTGTGTGGAAGGTGGCGCTTCAGGGGATGAGAGTGACGCCCTGAGCATCAATGCTGATACATGTGACAGCGACATTGAAGGACACAAAGAGGAGCCAGAGGACAGGAAAAACATGGAAACTGCAGCTGTGCCAGTACCTCCCGAAACAGGAGCTGTGAAGCCTGCTGACCCAAAGAAAGAACTTCAGAAAGACATAGAAAAGAGTGTCAGTGAGATTCTGGCCTTGGCGACGCCCAACCAGGAGGAGTCGAAAGAATTGGTTATTTCGCCGGCTTTGGCCATTCCTGACTTACCTGAACCAGTGGCCACAGCTGTGGTGATGGCAGACACTTTGGCAAGCTCAACCCCTGCTGTTGTCCAGCCCTCTGCCCAGCAGCTAGAGCTTCTGGAGCTTGAGATGAGGGCCAGAGCCATCAAAGCACTGATGAAGGCCAACGAGGTCAAGAAACAAGCAAGTGGATAAGATTCCAGGGGCCTGCAATGTTGCTCTTTTACAAGAACATTGAGGGGTAGTTTCCTTGCACAGCAGGTAATGCTGATTGTCAGTAGCATATTGTTGGTCATGTGAGGAGGATTCTCCTTACATTACTAGTAATCGGTCAATGATAGAATAACAGAAGCCCAAAAATTGAATTTCTTGCGGGACAAAAGAAGAATCTTCAGGAGATCGGATATAAGTGTGTGAGACTTTGTCCCAAAATTAAGACCTACTGTAAATACACCCTTAGTCTCTGTACAACTTGGAAACATTTTCAGATAAACAATATGTAGTTCTGTGACATTTTAAATGCTGAATTGTGAATATAAAACGTTTGAATATATAAACATTATTTTTTTTTACTTTAAAAATGTCTTGAGCTAAAATATATTTAGTGCAATGTATTTTTATCAGAAATGTAATATAAGACTAAGAACATTCATATTTTCTACAACGTCAAAAAATTCCCTTTGGTTTTGTTGAACTGCTTTAAGACGAGGTGTTTTTATAAAAATATGTATAGCAGTAAAAAAAAACACTTTTCTTTAGTGTATATAGTTTCTGTTATCCTTCAAATAAGTATAAGATGTAAAGAAAAATGTAGCATGTTATTCTGGCTTGGACTCAGGATTCTTTGAAGAGGTATTTTTTTCAGGCAAATTAAAACCTATTATACTAAATCACATACAATAATTATGCGTCAATATTCTACATCAGTCATGCAGTTTTCTAAGAAGTTAAAATATAAGAATAGAAAGATTGTTTTAAAATTATGTTCGTGACCTGTTGTAATCAGAATGTCATAATCAAACTTTATATTGTAATATTCTATTGAAGATAAAACGATTTTAATGTTTTAACTATTTTTTATGTAATATTAATGTAATATTTTTTTTACACTTCAAGTCCTATCCATTGCACTTTGCTCAACTGCTGAGGGGCACATCAGTTGAATCATCTGTTTCAAGACAGCCTCCTGCAAATTCAAGATCAGGATTGCTGTTAATTTGAGGAGTATGCAGTCATGTCGTGTTTTTTATCCAGTGTAGTTTTGTTTGTAATAGGGTTAGCCAGGTAGTGGTTCAAGTAAATCAGTTCTATTGCAGCTTGTTTACATCTCACACCAATTTGGATAAACTGCAAAATACTGACCTTAAACTAAACATGCAGTGTTAGGGAACCCTTGTGCTCACTGGGGAATGTTTAATTAAGGGATTTTGAGAAAAGCTTATTTTCTGCATGTTTATTTCCAGTTTTTATTCCAGTGGATATACACATATACAACATCTGCCAAAATCTCAGTAATCTCAGTTTTCAAAATATTACGAAATTAATTTGCAGCACTAACATATATTAAGGTATAACAGTTAAATATGTCAGATCTCTGTAGAGGGTTGTACGAACCTGATGAATGCAGTGTAAAACTTTAATTCTCTAATTAAAAAGTCATTTATATCTAGGAGGTTGCATGGTACCCTTTGAGTATAACACTCAAGATTGCCACTTCTGGTCCTTAAACCACCAACCAAAGAAGAGCTGTTCTTATGCTTGTAAGCTGTTCTTACATGCTGCCTGATAATCTTTCTTGTCTTGTAGAATTTTAAAGTACTGAAGCATAAGTAATTCATGTTCTATCTACCTATTTGACTAACCAAGATTTGTTTCTTTTAAGGGACAGACAATTTTATATTCGTCATAAGAAAAGTAAGCAGTTAGACCAAAGCATTTATTTTGGGCTGTTATTAAGGAAATATTTTGATGCAAAACAGCCATGTTAGAATTATGTGAACATAATTTATTTTTGGATTATGCTTCTACTCTCATTTAACCACAATGTGAAGGCACTAAGGTGCTGGTTTACTCAAGTCGTCGCTCAAGATCTTATTTATCTTGGTATAATACTGTTTACAAAGCTAATGTAAATGTCGTCACTTGTCCCATTTCTCCAAAGGGTTGTAAAATGAACAGCATGAAAAATATTGTTTTCTTTAAGTAAACATTACTGAATAGTTCAATTCAGAAATTTTACTTTTTCATATTGTATTTGGTTTTGTTTCTACAATATTCCTGTTCCGAGGTAGAAGTGTCTGGCAAATATCATCGTTCGCAAACTATTTTTCTCCTACTAACGTTTGGTAGTCAATAATTTATCCAGGAGAACCACAGAATTGTTATTTTCTTCCATACACCCCTGCTTGCTGTTTCAATAATTTACTGATATTTTACTGTTTTTACAAAAGACAAGTGTGATATAATAGCATTATTTTCAGTCTATACCTAAATGTATTTATAAAAGATGGTTCAGAAATTCTTTTTAATGTAAAATTCATTCTTGCTGCAATCAGTGATGGGGCTACCAGTACTGACATTTGCATTCTGTAACTGAAATAACACAAAACAACATTAAATGCAACTTTTAAAATGCTATTCCTTTTCACCACAGTTGGTGGCACCATCACTCTGTTGTATAGTTTAATGGACTCCATAGAGTCTGGCATAAGGTGGTAAATTCATTTGCAGCAAACAGTAAAACAGCTTTCTGTGTAGTGGAGGAGTGAAACTGCAGATGCAATTCGAAAGTGTAAAATTTTATTGCGCTCTGCAGAGTTTAAAGCCTTCAGTCCATATGTAATGGCTGTTTTTTTTTTTTGTACACCCAGCATGAAGGTTTTCAAAACCATCCATCATCAGAAATCTTCTTATCGTTGGTAAAGCTGTGTATTTCTGGTTTCGTGACAACCTGAAAGAGTATGTTGCACGGTGAGAAATCAAACTCGGCACCGAGAGTTGTGAGGCAGCACCAGTAATTGCCATACCACAGTGCAGCACATGTTCCAAACTCTTTCCCTCTTTTCATAAAGTACCAGTGAAACTTGTGTAGGTGGCAAAATAGATACAGAATGTAGTTGGACTTTTCTGTAAAATGCTGATATAAGGTTTCCTGATTGCATGTAACACTGAAATGAATGGATTAGGTTACGTTTACATAATGACATTAATTTCAGGAAATAAATGTGAGGAAAGTTCTTTTCTTGGCTTACATTTCATAATGTTCTGATTCTAAATAGTTTTTAGTCCATCTGTGAGGACCCACATTAACACATTTTCAGCTGATTCATTTTAAAAGAATGTGTTTTTCTAAGGGTAGGACACTTTTGCAAATATATAACCAATCAATTACGTTATTACCATAGCACATTATCTACAACCAAGTAATTACAGACCAATAAGTCTTTTATGTTAATGGTTAAGGAAGCAATAATTAGACTTAACCTAGAGGACCATCTACAGTATACAGAAAAAAATGTCCTAGATGAAAATCAATATTTTTTGAAAGGGCAGGTCTTGTTTAGCTGTGCCTATTTTCAGTTTTACAGTAATTGCATCTGGGTAATTATAGCCCTTAAGTTGGCAGGGAAAAACAAACTGTGCCAAATAACAAGTATTTTAATTGTACCTAAATTGTGTATTAACTTACGTTAAGAGCCTAAAGTGTGGTATCTGAAGTGTGTTTTGTAATCAGACTCTTCTGCTATATTTGCAGTAAGACAAGCTGAACAGGATAAGCTGGACCAACACATTTCTCTGTGAACACATTTAATGCCACAGTTTGTTGAATTCGCTGCAGGTACTGGAGTAGCAGCAAGTGTGTTCACAGAGGATTAGGTTGGTAGCAGCTGCTTGGCTTTGAAGGACAAAGTGACAATAAAAAAAGTCACCAGACAGGAACATCGTTGAACTCTTCAGCAAAAACAGTGCAATGGGATTCTGTGTGCATTGCATGCAACCATGATTTATAGATTTGCTTCTGATTCTTTGAAGTGAGTAACTGAAATTACCTAACACTTAGAAATATGGCTATCGACTTTCTGTCAAATCTGCACTGAACTTGGCATTTATACTACTTATCCTTAAGGTGGTCTGTAATGTCATCTATCAATCTCAGCCTCCACCTGTTTTTGTTTGCAAGGTTCTGCTTAAATCAGGTTTGTGCATGTCTGGAAAATTACTTGACAAGTTGAGGGTGTAGGACAGAAGGTCAGATTCTTAAGCAAGAGGTTCTCAGTGATATTGTTTTCTAGTTTCTGCAAATAAAAATAACCCCCAAACTGTTAAAAGGGGAATAAATATGACTCATTTTAAAGCTATAAATGTTGCATGGTGGTTAGTATTGCTATCTTCCAGCACTGGGGACCTGGGTTCAATTCCTGGGGTGCTATCTGCGTGTACTATCTGTTATTCCTGTCTTTGTATTGCAAGTTCTCCCTGTGTTCAGTAGTATAGTTGTAGTATAAAAATATATTTTTTAGTAGTGTATGGAGTGGGTCCCCACTTACCAGAGTGTGATGTGTATTGGGGTCCTTTTGATTCGTATCGCTACACATGATCCCCTTCTTTTATAAGAACAAAATGTTTCTTTTTACACATTTCAAAGTAGACTTTTGTATATGAAGTCAATATACGAAGCTATACGAAGAAGGAAAAGTAGAATAATTGTAGACACTATGACAAAGTGAAGTAAAATATCTTTACAGATTTGTTACAGTAATATTGCTTTTTAATTTAATTTCATGTACCTTTTTCTCCTTGCACATGAGAGATGAAGAAATAGAACCCTCTCTCATTGCATTATCTTATTTTGGCTCCATTTTGTCTGTCTGAAATGGCTTTGTTCCTCTGAGCTGTATAGTTGAAACTGATGCAATTACATGCAGATTCAAAGTGGAACAACCCCCTCTTGTGCATAAATGAAATGCAGAATAAGCACAGAAGTGCCTCTTGGGTATTTGCATTTAAAAGAAGCATTTTTGAGTAAATGCAGAAATAATTATACTATTCTTCTCTCTAGTGTGTCTCAGCGGGTGTCTTTCTGATTTTATTGTAGTTTTAAAGGGAAGGAAATAGTACTTAAAAAAACCCAGCAAATCTTAAAAGAATGTGCACTGAAGGGCAGGTAATGACAGGGAAGGCTGACAAATTTTGACCTTATTGCAGGTTCTCAAAATCGCTGTAGACAGCTATTATTTAGTCAATATGCAATATAGAATGGCCAATTAAATTGTTAACAGGATATGTGGACAAAAATAACAAAATTTAATGGAGTTCACTTTGGATCTTGAAGATACAAGAAAGGACACTACAGATCTTATCTGAGTGCAGAGAAGGGCAACAATTCATTTGTGTAATTAAGTTAAATCTGCATTCGAGAACTTGTTAGCTCAATAGTTGTATTATTTGATGAGTGTCATGTGGGTTCGTCATTGATATTCATGTCTCATTATAAGTAGGATTTTTATCATACTGATATTAAAATGATTTAAAACTACATTAACATGAGCTCACTTTAGGTAAATGCGTGATGCACAAGTTTACTGCTTGATGTACTGTAAGTTTGCATATATACTTCAAACCTGGATCCACACTGCCCACACAGTACAAGCATAAGACACACTATTGCAACAGGCAATAACCCTCATAAAGTTGATTTGTACATTCTTGTATCTTTCTATCCATTTTTTAATCTTTTTATTTGCTACAAATTTGTGAGCTTCAGCCTCCAATTACAACAGGCGGAAGGCAGGATGGGATACCAGTCCATCGCACTAACCTACCAGTATTTGGACTGTGGAAGGAAACCAGAGCACCCAGAACAAATCCATGTGAACATGGGGGGAACATACAAACTCCACACAGACCGCACCCCAGAAATTGAACACAGGGCCCCAATGTCGTGAGGCCGTAATGCCAACCACTGAGCCACTGAGGTGCCCTCTGTCTGTTCAATTGTTATTCATTTATGGTAGTCTTTGCATATCTTTTTAACAACGCATGGTAAAATTGAAATAAAGATCAGTTACTGTCTCCAGTCAATACTTGTCTAGTACTTTTGCACCGTACATACAGTATATTGTACTCAAATGATGTCATACCATTGCTATCTTGTCACATTTTTTTTGTGTTTCAGATAAATTCCTCCCTCTGCTTTTAGTACTTTTTAAAACTCTATCCAGTATGACTTTTATATATGCAGTACAACTTTGAAAAGTAGCCCTCCAGTAGATCTTTGACTGTGTACATGATTACAAATGATTAAAATTAGAAATAAGGATACTGAACCTCTTCTCTTCAGTAAAAACCTAAGACCTTACTAACACCTCGATTCAAAATATTTGGAAGCTCTATTTTTATTTTACTGGTTTATTTGTTGTTGTTTTTTCCCCTAGTCCTGATGTTGCCATTTAGATTATTCTAAAATGAATTCTCTGAAGCCTTTTTGTTTTTATGAGTGATCTTATTTAGTGTAGGTGTTATGAAGCATCAGAAAGTGCTCTAGGAGAACAGTTTCTCATTATTCACTTTTGAGCTATTTTCTTCATATTTTAGAAGAAGCACCCAGGATTGTTTCATCTAGTTGCTCCAGGTGAATAAATCAATTGCAGTTGAAAGGCATGGCTTTTTATAGAGCTAAAATAATCTGATGTGAGAAGGTGACTGCTGCCGCTACTGTAAGATTTTTCATTTATATCATTTCTACAATTTATGGGGCCCTTTCTCATAAACAAGAGGTCCTGATTAAAAACAGAGACGGTATAAACTTTGGGAATTGCAGAATTCATTTGCATGTTTATTTGTTAGTGCATAGCTTTTAGGAACACAAACCTAAAGGAATCATTTGAAGCTGTTATAATTATTTGTGGGATCAGGTCCACACTATAAAATAAGTTTAATGTGATTGTGGAGTTTTCAATCTGAGAGTGCTGTTAGGGATTTCATTTTCTGATAAATATACATAAGGCAGATAATTTGTCAATCAACAAAATAATTTGTTCATTAATAGGTAATAGTAAAATCGAAAACCAATCAATGGACTACTCTACCATACACTATGTAGCATAGGCAAGGATATCTAAAATTGCTTCCTCATACTGTAGTTTTTATTATATTTGAGAGTATAATGAAAATTTTATTTTATTCCTATAGCTTTCTAAATCTCCAAGTTTCCATGTAGTTTCCTTTTCTAAGTCTTCAATAGTTA